TTATTATTATTATTATTATTATTATTATTATTATTATTATTATTAGAGACAACAGCATAGTTGTTCAGTAACATATAAAAGTCTTTAAAGTCATACTTTTTCCCTCCATATTTCACATTTTCAGGGGCTGATACTGTACCTGTCTGCAGTAGTTGGTTGGCGCAGGGCAGGAGAAACCTTAAACAAGTCGGCAGTACATTGCAACACACAAGAGATATGAACACACACACTCACAATTTAGAGTCACCAAACAACCTAACATCAAGATTTGGACTGGGGGAGTTCCTGGAGCAAACCCATGCATGCGAGAGGGAGAACATGCAAATACAGTGAAAAAGACTCCAGGCTGACATGCGGACCCAGGGCATTTTGACTGCAAAAAGGAGGCTGCAAACTGTGTCACTTTGCATTCCTCTTTTTAAAAACAGTTGTTTTATTAGTTTTTTTATTTGAAACAAAATTTCTTTTTGAAACCCAAAAGTCCAGAAACTAGACCTTTCTTCTTTTTTTAACGTCAACAGTTTGGGAGATAACATTCTGTGGGAGTACTTATTGATAATAAACTGTGCTGGAAACACCATTTAAAATATGTAATAGAATCAATTCAAAGTCAATATTAATTTTGCATAAACAGAAGAACATGCCAAAGGTTTTTATATAATATATAACTCCCAGATACACCCTTTTTTAACAAAATGCGTGGATTTATGGGGAACAACTTATAAATTTACAATAGAAATGATTATGTTGCAACAAAACAGTCCTACATAAATAAAGCAGGATTTGTGACCATGCTAATCCACTATTTATAAATTTAAATATAATGAAATTTAAAGATCTTGTATATTATAGAATAATGCAATTAATGTGAAAAAAGCACAAACTAATCACGACTAGATTGTATTCAAATGTTATTTTCTATTCCAGGAGTAAATATAATTTTAGAAATAAATGTAAATTCCTAATTTTGAGTTAAAGTTATGTACATTCATTCTCGGTTTTAAAAAAGCTGTTGACATTGTATTTGAAAATTATCACTGCAAAGGAAGTATTATTACTGAATTGTTTGTTGATAAGTGAAGGATTGCTTAATTTTGTTGAACGAAAGCATTTGTTCATACCGGTAAGCGTTTGCATCAGCCTTTCAGTCACAATATTAAATATATCAACAAAATGTGACTTAAACTTGAACTAAACTAAACATGGATATAAATTAGTTGGTGGATTTGAAATGGGCCTAAATAGACAAGATAATACAAGATTATATGCTAAGCTATGGTTTTCAGTAAGGACTTGAATGAAGATGCATTTGTGATCTACTTTATTTCATTTCAATGTAATATGTGGCAGCTTTTAAGTTATATGTCTTTTCTTTTCATCTTACTAAGCAATGAAATATGAATACACAACTGAAGATTAATTATGATACAATATAAAAAATGATATATGTGACAGCAGGGGACTTTTGTGAAGACAAAAACTTAAATTGGAACATAGAAGGAGCCAGGGAATTATGAGATACAATAAAGGTGGGTGGTATTTAGAATAGCAGAAATTAGAAAAAATTAAAACTAAATTTTCTTCCATATCTGTCTTTTTTTCAGCTTTTCATAGGATGAAAACATTTCTTAAAGTCATTAATAAACCATTAAAAGGAAGGTTTAGCATTTCTCCATTTAGCACAATTGATATATTTACCCAACAGCAGGATGATGTTAATAATTTCAGAAATACAAATGATCGTCCGTATAAAAAATACATCATATAATGCAAATGGGGGCACGTCATTAATTTTTTAGAGAAATCCAATCTTTCATCTTAATCCAAAAGTGTTGTGTACTAGGACAAATGTACAAGGGTTTCACTATTATTAAAAAAGGAACATTGATCCACCAAAGAAAGCAAATATTTTATTTTATTCTGCGACAGGGTCAATTTTGTTCATGACTTTAAAGTGAGTCTCTTTGACTTGTGGTATGCATCTATACTAACAGGAATATCTCCCTTCCTAATAGATCAATCATAATCATGACATTTTCTGGCTTTCAAAAGACTGCTAATGAGATTGTTATTACATTTCTTGTCAAACATATTGCATTGTGCAATCAACAGGGTGGGGAGTAATAGTGATGAGTTATTATATAACCTAACATTTGAATTAAAGGCAGTGGAATCGAGTTATACTTCCTTTGAGAACAATTCAAATAATATTTTTTATTTTTTTTTTTTTATTGAAAATAACACTATAATGCAAGAAATCTCTAACCAAAATAATGTCTTTGTTGAACCATTCCTTTTTGAAAATAGATTTATGCTTAAATATTGTTACTCTATTGTTCCATATGGTTGAATAATGGGGAGAATAGTGAGTGAATATCATTTTCGAATAATGTAAAATCTGCTTGTGGAAGTTGGACAGCTTCAATGGAATCCTGCTAACCTCAAAATCAGATTTTACAATAAAGTCTAAACCTCCTATTTTATCGTCTTCATCTTTTCAGTCAACATGAAATGCCCCGACTCTTTAACTCATATAGGATTGCGCCCTCTTCTGGAGAAAATATTGTATAGCCAGTTCCGGTTAACATGAAGAGTAAAAAAGGAAAACACGTATCTTAATAAATAGATATTGATTTTTTTAACAGAAAATTATATTTTAAATCGCATGCTATACTTAATAATACATATTAAATATAATTTTTAAATTTACAGCTTTTAATTTGCTGGGTCCACACTCCTTACCAGTTAGTAGCGGTAATGTTCACCTAACCTTTTTGCCAACCGCCATAAGAATTTCAAGAAGAAGAAGAAGAATTGTTTCCTCTGGTCATGAGGTTCTTCCGGTTTCAACAGTGGGACACGTGCAGACTTTAACATCTCTGAGGAAAGAGGGGAAGGCTTCAAACTACAGCTTTTATTTAGCTCCATTTGGTTTACATTTTTTATTTTCCTGTGGAAGGGCTTGCCTAGCACGCAGTCAACATGGTGAAGCCCCAGTTTAAGGGAAAGAGTTCGATAAACCCGTCCTCGTCAAGCTCCAACCCCGGTAAGGAAGCAAGCTTGTTTACACCTGGAGCTAACTGTAGCTAATACCGTTAGCTTGATCTTCTTTCTGCTGGATGCGAACGATGATGATGTGATGATGATTGGATCTTAAAGTTAATTGAAATAATATATTTAAGGACACAGTTGTTTCTCATGCTAAACTATTCCAGACTATTTGGGAATTAGTGAAATCATTTAAATTTACATGTACCGTGCATAAATGTGACTTTAAGTTTGTCACAACAGGCTTATGCTTTTAATTGTAGATTTATATAAACTAATACGTGTGTTTATGGGGGAAATTGGAAGTGACATTATTCAGAAATATCGTTTTAAAGCAAAAAATCTCTGCTAACTTTTAAGGAAAAGCTTCATCATGTTCGTTTCCAGAAAAAAAAACAAATCCTTCTTCTTGGTGGACAAACATTGTTTTAATCATTTTGAATTTGGGTTGTCAGCATAAAGGTGATAAGACCAAAACCATGATGCAGTAAATAAAATAAAAGAAATTGTTAAATAACATGTTTATCCGTGACTTTAACATAAAAGGGTTTAACCCCAATAAATGTAGAATATCATTGACATTTTGATTTCCATAATGTAGGATCTGAGTAAATATTAGAAGAAAAAAAACATGGCCATGTAATGAGGACATGGATTATGATTAAAACATATTAATATCCAAATATATTATAATACCGGTATTTTAAATGAATATCCCACTTAGATTTTAAGGGCTTTCTCCTACTGCTCTATCACTTCAGTCAAAGTCAAAGTCAAAAAGCCTTTATTGTCATTATATTCTGTGACAGATACAATGAGATTTGGGACTTCCATAACAG